GTAGAGACAGGGTTTCACCATGTTGGCCAGGCTAGTCTTGAACTCCTGACCTTATGATCCACCCGCCTTGGCCTCCCAAAGCACTGGGATTACAGGCATGAGCCACCAAGCCCTACCTGAATGCCTGCTTTTTGAAAAACATGTGTATATATTGTTTGGAGATTTGTCCTTGACCAAATCTCATGTAGGATTATAATTTCCATTGCTGGAGGTGGTGCTTGGTGGGAAGTGTTTGTACCATTGAGGGTGAAACTCTCCTGGTTTGGTGCTGTCTTGGTGATAGTGAGTTCTTGTAAGATCTGGCTCTTTCAAAGTGTATGGCACCACCCCCACCTGACTCTTTCTTGCTTGCTCCTGCTTTTCCCTTGTGAGAAATCTTTTGCCCCTTTACTTTCTGCCATGATTGTAAACTTCCTCAGGCCTCCCTAAACGCTGAGAAGATGCCAGCACCATGCTTCCTGTAAAGCCTGCAGAACTGAGCTTCCTGTAAAGCCTGCAGAACCGATTAAGCCCCTTTTCTTTATATATTACCCCAATTTCTCATATTTCCTTATAGCAGTGCAAGAATGGCCTAACACAGAAAATCTGGACTAGCAGCGGGGCATTGCTATAAAGATAATCTGAAAATCTGGAAGCAGCTTTGGAACTGGTTAATGGGTTGGCAGAATTTGTAGGGCTCAGATAAAGACAGGAAAATGAGAGAATATTTGGAATTTCTTAGAGACTAAATCGTTGTGATCAAAATGCAGACAGTGATATGGATAGTAAAATCCACGCTGCCAAGGTCTCAGATGAAAATGAGGAACTTTTGAGAACTGGAGCAAAGGTCATGTGTGTTATGCCTTAGCAGAAAGCTTGACTGCATTGTGTTCATTCCCTAGGGACCTGTGGAAGCTTGAACTAAAGATGGCTATATAGGATAACTGGCAGAGGAAATTTCTAAGCAGCCAAGTTTTCAAGATGTTGGCTGGCTGCTTCTAACAGCCCATGGTCAGATGTTGGAGCAAAGGCATGATTTAGGGTTGAAATTTATATTGAAACAGGAAGCAAAGCATAAAAGTTTGGAAAATTTTCAGCCTAGCCATGTAGCAAGAAAAAGCTTCTAAAGGAGAGGAATTCAAGTTGTCTGTGGAGTAACCACTCGCTAGAGATATTAACTAAAAAGGAGCCAGTGCTATTATCCAAGACAATGGGGAAAGGCCTTGAAGACATTTCAGGGACCTTTGTAGCAGCAATTTCCAAAATAAAAGGGATTCCATCCTTAGGTTCAAGTAGGTCAGAGGCTAACAGGAAACTAAGCATATTGAAATGTCATAGCTAGAAATAAATTATAAATTCATTTTTAGGATGTTTACAACTTTCTCTGGAAATGCAGTTAAAATTATTTAGCTTTCTCTATCAAAAGTAACTCCAGAAAGAATGTCAATTTGACATTTAAGCTAATTGTGTGAGTAAATAAACTTTTTATAAGAGTAATATTAAATTATTCCAAAGTTTTAAGTATGACTGAGTGTTAATTTTGCATCTTAAAAAGATTTTGTAAGATGGTTGTTTGGGAAGGTGTTTATTAAAATTTATGGGAGGTTATTGGTAAGCTAAGTTCTTGTGCTAGGCTCCAAAAGAACAAACTAAAATGGAGCCATTCATCCTAAGGTGCCATGTAACCAAACTGAAACTGTTGTTTATCTGACTTCCAAGAAATCAGGAGAGAGATTATAGCTTAATCCAGGTCAATTTCAGCTTATGGGATAAGAAAGTCCCCTCTGCTTTAACATTTGCAGGAAAAAGTAACTTAAAGTCACCTAATGTTAACCAATCCACTTTTTCATGTCATACTGTTTCCTTGTTTCTACTAAAGATACCTTATAAAAACTGCTTTTTAAATTTTTATGAAGTTCAAATTTTCCTTATGGATCATGATTTGTTTGCATGTAAAATAACTCTTAGTATAGTTCTAGGTCTCCAAAAGTTTTGTTTTCTTCAAAAAGTTCCATAACTTTAGCTTTACATTTATACTCATGATTTAACTTTTTGACTTTCTGTTTTGAATTAGTTTCATATTCATGAGACATTTCAAAGAAATGCACAAAAAGTTCTGTGTACCCTTTACTGAACCTCCTGTATGTTAACATTTTGCCTAACTATACTATAATACAAAAATCATAAAATTAACATTGATTCAATTCACAGAGGTTTGCCACATTTCACCAGCTATACATGATCTTATGCTGGCATGTGTGTTCTTGCGACATGATCACATGTGTAGTAACATATAACTATAATCACATTAAGATACAGAACTATATTATATACACAAGACTTTCTGGTGCCTTCCCCTTTTATAGACATACACATGACACTCTCACATTATTCCTAGTTCCTGACAATCATCAATGTTTTTCCTATACTGATTTTTTTAAATTTCAACAACTTTAGATAAATCCAATCACACAGTATGTCAGCTTTTGAAACTGGCTTTTTTTTAGTTAGTATATGTCATATTATGGATTTACTCTGCTTTCGGTAACCATTCACCCACTGGAGAGCATTGAAGTCATTTCTAGTTTTTCATTATTATGAATTAAAGTATAATGAACATTTGAATTTAAGTTTCTGAGAGAACATAATTTTCATTTATTGGAGATAAATGTCCAAGTGTAAACTGTACTTCTTTTAAGGTAACTTAATTACAACAAAAGGCAGGAAAGGATACCGTCAAAATCATTGGAGATTGTGGTAGTAAACAATTAAGAAAAGACTGGTAGATATATTTAAAAAAAATAAATTATACACCAGATAGATGTTTAAGAAAGACAACCAAAGAAAGAGGTCACTACGGGTAGTTCTTCCAGGGTTAGAGGGAATGAATAAGTTTCAAGGACTAGGTTCAAAGATTATGCCTGCAAAAGCACTTGGATTTAATTGATCAGACTATGGAGCAATTTATGCTCCAAGTCATGTTGAAAAAGTTAAGCAATCAGTCTGCAACTGGTAAATAGCTGGGCGTGACAAAGGCAGAAGCATATGGCTTAACAGAGAAAAATCACAAAAAGGGTGTCAAAAAGGGTCTTGACAATGGTCATTGTCATCACAAGGTGACCGTGTACATCCTAAGCATCATAAGTCTGTACACTTTTAGGAGCAACATCAAAAGTTTCACATTACAAGGAAGACATATCAATAAAATTGTCCAGCCAAATTACCAAACAAATCCATTGGGGAGGATTAGAATCCAGAGGAAAAAAACAGAAGGTACAATCCATATACCCTCCAAAAATATTAGGCAATAAAAACTGCAGAAATATTTGGCCTAAGTTAGACTTAGCAGACAAAGATTTCAAATCAGCTATTATAAATACAAAAAACTAAAGGAAATCATGGATTAAAAAAGGGAAAAATGATGACAATGTTTCATCAAATATAGAATAACAATAAAATGAAATTATTAAAAAGGTAATAGAATGACTCAGCAATATATTTGAATTGGAAGAAGTTCAGTTAATTTAATAGATTAATAGATATTATTCAAGAGGAAGAACAAAAAGAAAAATTACTTAAAAATATAAATAGAGCTTTACATAATTGTAGAATACCATTAAGTATACCAGGATACATCTAGTGGAATACCAGAAAGAATAGAGATGTAAAGGAGCAAAAATAAAAATCTATATCTATATCTAGTCAAAATAGTGAAAGATAAGGAGAGTAAGACAAAAACAATTCACTAATACTAAAAACATTCAGTAAGATTTTCTCAGCTTATCTCCCATCAGGAACGTGGAGGCTAAAAGACAATAGGTGACATATCCAAAATGTTAAACAGCTACTGCCAACTACAAACCTTATGGCCAGCAAGACTATATCTCAAGGATGATTGTCTAATAGAAATATTTAAGAATTTGGGAGAATTACTAGTTGTTTCTTACAAGAAACAACAACAAAAAATATTCTTGAGACTGAAGCAAATCCCAAGACAGTAATTATAGAATAACAATAAATGAAATTATTTTTATTTCATGAATAAATTATTTTATTTAACATGAAGAAGCAAAGAACTTTAATAAAGGCAACTATGTGCATAAGTGTATTCTTTAAAAGGACAGTATAGACACACTTTGGTTTCTGTGTCCAGCACGAGCAGAGTTTGGAAGTTGCCATTTCATCATTCTATAATAACAACAAATAAAAATCTGAACAAACTGAAAATTAACACTCTTCTTAGATCGGTTAGAGAATTGCAATCACAAGACAAACAGCTATTTCCCAAACTAGAGACAGATAGGTGGATATAACTAATTATAATTTACCAGAGCAGAAATTTATGAGCAGAAACTTCCATGGGAACCAGTACTAGGGTAGAAAAACCTAAACTATAACTGAAGAATAGAAGCTCAGTGTGGACAAGTCTGAGAGTCAACAACTCTATGGGGCCTACTTTCAGTCCATATTATTTGTGTCTGCCTCCAGGAGCCTATCAGGTTCTCACAGTGACAATCAGAGAAAACTATTCTTATTCTTCTAGAATTAAGAGAGAGGAAAAGAAGCCAGTCTGAAATATGTCCGGAGCATTGCGTTCTTCTTAACAAGGGCTGCCCTCAAGAGAAACTCTTTCATCAGGACCTAAGCTGCTGGGGTTTTAGCAGAGCCTCATTGACCTGGGCGAACTCAACCCTCTCTTGCTTTTCATGTGGGAGAAGGAAAGTTTCTCACTTCAGCCCCACTCTATCATCATGTAAAGGCGTAGGAAAAACTCAGAAGTAGGAATGAAGGACATAGGTTCACTAAAAGACTGAAACCTAATCATAGAACTGCAAAATGCTTTCCATCCCCAACACCTTTCCAGCACAATCTATTTAGCACAGTTTCTTTAACATAGAATATCATGCCCAGCATTCAACAAAAAATCATGAGCAATACTAAAAGACAAAAACACAGTTTGAAGAGGCAAAGTAAGCATCAGAACCAGATTCAGACATGGTAGAGGTGTTGGAATTATGAGATTTGCAGGGCATAATAATTTGATTAATATGCAAAGAGTTTTATCAGAAAAAGTAGATAGCATGCAAGAAGAAATGGACAATGTCATCAGAAAGATTCAAAATCTAAGAAATAATTTAAATAATACACTTTAGGATTCAAAAACATCATTATAGAAATGAAGCCCCTCTTGGGGTCAGTAGTAGACTGGACACAGCTGAGGAAGGAAACAGTGAGCTTGAGAATACGTCAATAGAAATGTCCAAAACTGAGTATCTAAGAAGAGAATACTGAAAAAAAGAAAGCCAGTATCCAAGAACTGTGGAAGAACTACAAAGGGAGTAATATACGCATGATGGTAATGCCAGAAGGAAAAGCAAAATAAAACAGAATTATTTGAAGCAATAATGGCTGATAATTTCACAAAGCTGCTATCAGACACCAACTCACAGATGTAGCAAACTCAGAAAACATTAAGCAGATTAGATGTCAAAAAATAATGACTAGGTATATCATATTCAAACTGCAGAAAATCAGAAGCAAAGAACAAATCTTGAAAGAATATAAAGGAAAAGAATTTTACCTATAGAGGCTCAAATAAAGAATTACTTCCAACTTCTCTTCAGTCAACAAAGAAACAAGACAGTAGGGTAAAAAATTTGGTATTCCGAGAAGACACACACACACACACACACACACACGCGCGCGCACACACACGCGCACACACGCACACACACGCGCACACACACACACACACACACACATTCTCTCTCTCTCTCTCTTTCTATGTCTCTCTCTCTCCAGAATTATCCACCCTGTGAAATTATCCTTTGAAAATTAAAGAGAAATAGACATTTTCTCATACAAACAAAAATTGAAAAATTTTTTTTGTCAGTAGACCTCCCTTTCTAGGAATAAAATAGTTTCAGAAAAGGATTGTGACCAACAGTATCAGATACTGCTAGGTTAAGAGAAATGTTCAAAAGTAGTAGTCAAATTTGACCAAAAACACAGTATAGGTTTTTTTTGTAATGCTAGCATATGTATTCTTTACTCTTCACTTAGATGTCATTTTCATGATCATAAATTCTGAACTCAGAATGATAATCCCAGCCGAAGTTTACATGTACTAGACACTATAATATAAACTAAAAAATGAATTGTGTCTCTATATACTAATAATGAACTATCTAAAAAGGAAATTAAAAAACCAATCCCATTTACAATAGCATCAGAAAGAGTAAAATGGTGTAAACTTTACCAATCTAGTAAAAAATTGGCACATGAAGCCCATAAAAATTAATGAAGAAATTAAAATACACATGAATAAATTAAAAGCATATACACTGTTTAAGGATTGAAAGAAAAAAGTTAAAATGTCCATATTACCCAAAGTGATGTACAGTTTTATTGCAATCTCTATCAAAATTTCTATGGCATTTTTCACAGGTATAGGAAAAAACTCTGACATTAAGAAGAAACCATCAAAGATATGAAATAGCGAAAGCAATCTTAAGCAAAAAGAACAAAGCTGGAGGTATTATACTTCCTGATTTCAAATTATATTACAAAGCTACAGCAATCAAAATAGTAAAGCACTGGCATAAAAAAGACCCATATATCAATGGGACAGAATAGAGGACAGAACTAAACCCCTGAATACATGGTCAACACATTTTTGATAAGGAGATAAGGAATATACAATGTGGAAAGGATAGTCTCTTTAATAAATGCTGGTGAATAAACTGAATATTCACATGTAAAAGCATGAAAGTGGACATCACACACATAAATCACATAAAGATGGACAAAACACTTAAATGTAAAGCCTGAATCTATAACACTTCTCGCAGAAAATAGTGAGAAAGCTCCTTGCCATTGGCCTGGGCAATGATTTTCTTGGGTATGTCACCAAAAGCACATGCAACAGAAGCAGAAATAAAGTGATTAAATTAAACAAAAATGTTTTGCATAGCAAAAAAAAAAAAAAAAGAAATAAAAAGGCAGCCTATAGAATGAGACAAAGTATTTGCAAACTATATATTTGATAACGTATTAATATCAAAACTATGTTTGGGAGGCCATACGCCATGACTCTTGTCAGTAATCCTAGCATTTTGAGGGGCTGAGATGGGAGAACTGCTTGAGCTTAAGGGTTTGAGACAAGCCTAGGCAACATACAGAGACACTCTCTCTACAAATATATATATTTGTATATATAAAGATAATAAAATAATAAGTACAACCAACACCAACGTATAATTAGATCTAACTAAAAGAGCACTTGAAATAATGTACCAACTGTATTCTTTTCTGACCTGCATGCTCATCAGGAAAAGTTCTAGAACATTCAGAATTTTGGATTGCCCGGTTATAATAACAAACTATTGAAAAACAAAATTATAAAGATACCAGTTACATTAGATCTAAAATAGTATATTTAGAAATTAATACAACAAATGTTGCATAACATGCATGACACTGGTTAATGACTAGGATAATTTAAGGTAATATATTAATTCTATATCATGTTTACCGCTTATATTCTGTATTCTCTCTGTTGGATAATTTCCTTATTTCATTTCTCTTAAAGATCACAATGATGAAAATTATGAAAAATGGCAGAAAAATGTAGAAACTCAGAATAAACCAGTTGTTCCACTGTTTATTGTAGCTTTTTTCAGTAGAAAATTCATCTAGAAATGAATCATATCTTAAATTAGTGGGGAGTTAGTGGATATTTAAATAAATTTACATTTTTTCACTTTAATGGTATATATGTGTTTATGTAATAATTTAAGTTTTAATGTCTTGCAAGCTGATAGGAAAAAATAGAACGTTTAAGTTCGTAAATGCAAACTACAGTGCCATATTTTTCATAGATTTTCTATTTGTTTACACATATTTATTTAAATATTAATCTGCTATATACATGTTTAGAATGCTGTTTGCTGCATTCAACTTATTTGCAACATCAATAATTTAAAAGTTAATACAGTAATAGTTATATTACTTACATTATTAAACATGTCATTAAGATTAAGTTACAATTTTTAAAAATGTATACTTTGAGAAACCATCATCCCATTCGCTTGCTAAATCAGTTTCTTTCCTCAGAGAAAACCAATTTTAAATGATTAACTTCTCTCCATCTAGTGTTTTTATTCTATACATGTAAAGAAAATTCATATTTATACCTATACTTGTATCTGCATCTATATCTATGCATCTATGCATAACATGTGCATCTGTGTGTATATGTGTATGTGTATATCTTTCCACTCATTGACATTCTATAAGCATATTATTTCCTTTGGGTTGTTTTTATACTTAAAAAATTGACATATCATATAATTCTGAAAACTATACAATATACAAATATATTAGCAAAGTTAGCAATGAGTTAACTAAATGAATGTGCACATACCCACTCTCCAGGTCTCAGAAAACTGTCTTTTGATTTTCACTATAGACAAAGTCTATATAATGATAAAAGATTCAATGTACTAGAAAGGTGTGACATCTGAACACCCAACATCTGAGCACATAAGTACATAAAACAAACAATTACTGAACTAGAGGAAGGAATAGATAGCAATACAATGATGGTAGGAGACTTCAACTGTGACATGTTCAATAATGTAAAAGAACATCTCAAAAGAAGATCAATAGGAAAGCAGAGAATTTGAATCATACTAAACACCAAATGGACCTAACATACACACACGGAATATTCCACTCAACATCAGCAGAACGCATATTGCTTTCAAGTTCCCACAGTTCTTTCTCCAGGATAAATCAAATGTTAGATCATGAAAATAAAAGTTAACAAATTTTTAAAAGATTGAAATCAGAGTAGGTATCTTCTCAGATCACAAGGGATGAAACTAAACAATCAATTGCAGAAGGAAAACTGGAAGATTTACGGTATGAGGGAATTAAACAATACACTAGTGAACAATCTTTGTGTGAAAGAAGAAATCAAAATGGAAATTAAATACCTCAAGACAACTGAATATGAATATGCAACATGCCAAAAATTATTGGCTGCAGCAAAAGTGGCACTAACAGGGAGGTTCATGGTGATTAACGTTTGCATTTTAAAAAAGAGAGAGAAAGATTTCAAATAAACTACCTAACATTACACTTCAAGGAACTAGAAAAAGAAAAATGAACTTAGCCCAAAATTAGTAGAAGAAAAAAAATTATAAGTATTAGAGCAGAAGTAAATGAAATAGAAAATAGAAAACAAACAAAGATCAGTGAAACTAAGAGGTGTTTTTAAAATGGTAAAAAAAAAATCAATAAAACATCTAAAAAATAGAGAGAAAATGCAAATAAAATAGGAATGAAAGGAGAGACATAAAAACTGAAAAATTATGAGACATTCATGAGAGATTTTGATCTGTAGTTTTCCTCGCTTGTGAAGTCTCCTGGTTTTGCTATTGGGGGTGATGCTGGTACCATAGGATGAGTCAGGAAGTAGCACCTCTGCTTCAATGTCCCTAAAGGTATTGCAGAGAACTAGTGTAATTTCTTACTTAAATGATTGGTCATATTTACTGGTGACTATATCTGGGCCTGAGAGCTTATTTAATAGAAGGTTTTTAATTATTGATTTAATTCTGTTTGTACATGTAGGCCCATTAGGATTATCTGTTTCATCTTGTGTGAGTTTTGTTTTGTGTCTTTTAATTAATTTTTTTAATGACGACTATAAAATTTGTGAGTATATAGTTATTCACAATATTTCTCTGTTATCACTTACATGTTCATTTGATCAGCACTTAGCTTTCTTTCATTTTCAGACTAATAAGTTATGTCTTTTTTTCCATTTTTCTTAGTATGGCCAGAGGTTAATCAACATAATTTACCTTTTTTTTTTTTTTTAAAAAAAGATGGAGTTTCACCATGATGGCCAGGCTGGTCTTGAATGCCTGATCTCAGGTGATCCACCCACCTAGGCCTCCCAAAGTGCTAGGATTATAAGTGTGAGCCACCACGCCCGGCCTATAATTGACATTTTCAAATAACCAGTCTTTCATTGATTTTCCTTTATTGATTTGCTAATTTTTTTTTCCTATTTTATTGATTTTTATTGTACTGTTTTCCTTGTTTACTTTGGATTTAGTTTAACTTTCTTTCCCTAGTTTGCTAAGATGAAAGCTTCAATTTCTGACTTTAGATATGATACATGCATTCAATGCTATAAATTTTTTCTGTAAGTTTTGCTTTTGATGAATCCCACAAATTTTGGTAAGTTGTATTTCATTTTTATTCAGTTCAAAATGATTTTAAACTTTCTCTTGAGACTATTTTAACCCATGTGTTATTTGTGAATTTGTTATTTAATCTCCAAGTATTTCAGGGCTTTACGGTTCTCTTTTTATTACTGATTTCTAGTTCAATTTCATTTTGGTTTCAGAATATACAGAGTAGAATTTCGTTGCTTTAGACTTGTTAAGGTACACTAAGACAGAGAATTTGATCTACAATAAAGGATATTCTATGTGGTCTTGAGAATAATGGTTAGTCTGGTCTTATTGCATGGAATATTTTTTAAATATAACTGGATCAAGTTGATTGATCATTGTATTAAGGTCAATTATATACAGTAAGTCCTCACCTAACCTTGTCTGCAAGTTCTTGGAAAATGTAACTTTAAGTGAAACAATATGAGCAGGTCCTCAAGGAAAAAATCTTTTTTTTCAACAACGTTTCATTATAACATTGATGAGAAAAAGATGATTTCATTGTATATAGTTTCATTTCAAGTCAGTTTTGAAGAACTTGACGATATTGAGGACTTCCTATACTTACTGATTTTCTGTATGTTGTTGTGTCAGTTACTAATAGAAAGTAGTTATATTAGTCAACTATAATGGTGGATTTTTATATTTATCCTAGAAGTTCTTTCAGATTTTGCCTCATTTGTTTTGACACTGGTGATACATACACACACACACACGCACACACACACACTATTTTGTTTTCTTTAAGACTTGCTCCCCATATTATTATAAAATATCCCTCTTTATTCTATATGTTTGATTGCTTTGATGTTGACTTCATCTGAAATTACTACAGATTATCAAGCTTTCTATTAATTAGTATTATCATGGTATATCTTTCTCCCATCTCTTTACTTTTAATTTACCTGTGTCTTTACATTTAATGTGTGTTTCTTGTAGACAACATAGAGTGTGGTCTTGTTTATTAATTTTTTTCTAATACACTATGACAGTCTCTAAATGTCTTTTAAATGATTTATTTAGAATATTAACATTGAAAGTGATTGTTGATATATTTGAATTAATACCTATTGCTTTATTGTTTTAGCCCTTTCTATTTGTTGCCATTTAAAAAAATCTTTTATCTTGCGCTTTTTTTTTAATTGGCTTTCTCTGATTTTAATTGACCATTTTACATTATTTCATTTTCTCTTTATGTTATATTCATTATAAATTTTTATGTATGTGTGCTTGGCCCAGTGTTTAGTGCCCTGACTTTGTCCTGTTTGGAGTTCATTAAGCTTCTTGGATTTGTATATTTATAATTTTCATAAAATTTTGAAAGTTTTAAGTCATCATGTCTTCAAATACTTTTTCGCTTTCTTTCTTTCATTACTCTCTCTGTATGGTACTCACAAAATGAGAATGTTGTTCCACTTGATAGTGGTCTTCAGGTCTCTTGGGCCCTAATGAAATCTCTCCATTCTTTTGCTTTCTGGCCTCAGATTCAACCATTTCAATTGTTCGGCCTACAAGTTTACTGTTTCTTTTTTCTCTCTGCTCAAATTCACTTTTAAACCCTTGTAGTGAATTCTTTTACTTATTGTACTATTGAGCTCTAGAATTTATTCAGTTACATTTAATAATTTCTATGTCTACTGATATTCTCATTTTGTCCATACGTGTTTTTCTTGATTTCTTTAGTTCTTTGCCCATGTTTTCCTTTAGGTGTTTGAGTACATTTTAAAGCCTTTGTAAGTCTGAAATTTGGGCTTCTATGGGATAATTTCTGTCAATTAATTTTGTTCCTGTGAATAGGTCGTGCTTTCCTTTTTCTTTTTAAGCCTTGTGATTTTCATTGTTGAAAATTAGCTATTTGACTGTTATAACTAGGAAACTTTGATTATCTCCCTGTCTGCCCTACTCAGGGTTTGCCAGTTTCTTGACTTCTGAAGACTTCATTAGTATATTTTTTTAGTGTCTTACCAGGGTATTTTTGTAAAGACTGTATCTTTTGGCTTTATGGTCTGATTCCCAGAGCTTTTGTTCAGGTAATGTTTTGACAGGGATTTTTTGAAAAACAGGGGCTAAATTTTAACGCTAATAGTAAGTACATAGACAAAAAGCAAAGGAAACGATACAAACAAAATAACCTCTATTCGGCGCAGGCTGAGTCCTGCACTGAGCACTTGTTTACACTGAGCCAGACTTTCACTGAGCCTAGAAATTAGCCTCAGGTGACAGCTCATTATCTTCTTAGATATTTTCTAGCATGAATCTTTCAATAATCATGCATCTGCCTTTCTAAATTTCTCCATATATCCATGTAGTTTTGAATTTCCTTATTAAATTCCTAGTTATTTCCTGGTCTGTCATTTGTTCTCAGCGTACCTATCCTATCAGCCTAGTAGTGCAGTTAGTCCTCCATGTTCTCCTGACAACATAATTGCCGATGTAATCAACAATACTCCAACAAATCTAATAATTCCCTTTTTCTTCTCACCCCACCCTGAAGCAGCAAAATTAATGGCTTTTACATACAGCTTCATCCTAGTTGAACTACCATGTTGATAAAGTTAGGTCAGGCTAGTCTAAGGTAAGACATCAGTCTAAGGTAAAGAAGCCTGTTAGCAGAAGTAGTTTTCAACAACAAAGGTTGTTAACGTGCAGCCATGTAAACAGAAGTAGTTTTCATGAACAAAGTTTATTTATATTTAACACGTTTAAGGTTCACTTAGCTTCTTGGATGCAAGTACTGACTTTCTTCAATTTATTGGGAAAATTGGGGGTCGTTATTTTTTCAAATGTCTTTTCTGTATACTCTCTCTTTCTCATATTTATCTGAATCACCCATTAAACATGTACAAGAAAAATTTATGTTGTCTTAGAAACATGCAACTCATTTCATCTATTTCCCCTTTCTCAAATGTCAGAATTGTTTACTCATTGACAAACACTTCATACAATTTTCTAGAATTATTCTGTCACAGCCAAAAAAGAAAATCCTTATGGCTGCTCACTTTAATCTCTTTTTTTCAGAGATTATTAATAATCTCAGAGATGTTTCTGAAAGACTATTGCCTACAGAAGTTATCTCCAGTGTTTTTATCTCATCTCATTCTACACAATTGTATCATCCCATGAGTTACTTTATCTAAACAACCTATAAACTAAGTATGACTATTCCCCAGTGCTCCTAATGATACCACTATCAAATGATATTGTCAAATTAATTTTCCCACAGATAACTAAACTTCCATATATCCAAACTTAAATGCATTATCTTCATGCTCTGTTCATCCTCTGATAATTTCATACAAATTTTTATAACTGTCCATATATAAAACACATCGATCATCATGCCTTTATTCATTGTTATTCACAAAAATTGATAACTATGTAGCAACTTTTTTTTCCTTTTATTGTCTACTTTGGGACCTTAAGTTAAGGTTACTGATTTCTCAGCAATTTGCATTCCTTAAGACTCATATAACCAAACCCATTTCCCACATTGCTGCTTGGGTGGACTTTATAAAATGTGAATCTCGATTTTGTTGCCTCACCAGAAACCCAATAACATGTTAGTGGAGGAAATGTATGAATGAATGAACAGCTGAATCAATAAGTAGTTTATGATATTGACAGGGACAGGGGCAGAAAAATTCTAGGCAGAAAAGTTAGTAGGCCCTAACTAAGGCCGACTCTCAAGCTGATAAGCTTGAGGCTGCAGCCGAAAGTGAGAACTTTTCCCAGTTGAATGTTGCCTATTCCTAAACCACCCATATCACCATCCCACCACCATCCTGTGCCTATAAAGACCCCAGACTCAGCTGGCAGAGAGGAGAAGCAGCTGGACATCAGAGAGTGTGGCTAGACATTGAAGAGAAGTGATTTGACTTCAGAAGGAAGCTTGATGGCATAACTTTAGAGAAGAATCTGGCCAGAGACAGCTGGACTTCAGGGGAAGATTATCTTCTCACTTTGGCCCCCTTTCAGCTGCCCTTTCCACTGAAAGCCACTTTCATCAGCAATAAAATCCCCTACATTTACCATATTTCAATTCATTCACATGACTTCATTTTTACTGGACACTAGACAAGAGCTCAGGAGCCATGAGTGTGGATGCAAAAGGCTGTCACACTGGCACTTTGCCCTTGCTAGTGGAGAGCAACCACCTCACATGAAAAGGCAGCGGGTCCACTTAGCTGTTCATACCTAAGCTGTCTGCAGATGGTAGAACTGAAGAAGCATGGCAACATGCCCTCTGGAGCTTCAAGGGTCACTGGAATCCCTCCAGATGCTGCTGCAGGGCCCGCACCAAGTTTGCTTCTGTCGATGCTCAAAGTGTTCCCCCTGGCTCCTACCTGTGCTCTCTCTCCTTCAAGGTTGGAATACATCAGGTCCCAGTGAGTGGATTTTGTCCCTGCTGGCACTGAATCAGCCAGCTGGTTCCAGTGCTTATGTACTCCAGTTCTCGTCCCATTCACTCACACACTCCCTCCTGCAAGGAGTTGAGAACTGCAGGTTGCATAAATGAGGCACCCCTGACACAAGTCCTATGAAGGTGTCAGGGAAATATCCTGCTTCAATATTGCCTTCATTTATAGAAACAAGTTAAGTATAAATATGTTTGCCATCACTCAAAATGTGATTGATTTACTGTTATTTCTTTAAAAACATGCATTTATATTTTGCCATGTTTTTCCAAAGTTGATTGAGTATGTAAACACTGTATGGTACAGAGAATAAACACTGTATGGTACAGATAAAAATATCTGATTAATATTGTGTAAGATTACCATAGTCATTCCCCCTTATCTATAGTTTTGGTTGCACAGTAACAACCATGGTCCACCACTGTCTGAAAATATTAAATGAAAAATTCCAGTAACCAACAATTCATAAGTTTTAAACTGCATGCTGTTCTGGGTGACATGATTAAATCCTCCATCATTCCTTTCTGCCTCACTAGGACCTGAATCATTCCCAGGTCCAACAAATTCATGCCGTATATGCTACCTGGCCATTAGTCACTTACTCATCTTAATTATCAGGTTGATTTTTATGCCATTACAGTGCTTTGTTCAAATCACCCTTATTTTACTTCATAATGATCTTAAAGGGCAAGATTAGTGATGCCATCAATTTATATATGCCAAAGAGAAGTCAAAATTTCTTTCCTTAAGGAAAAGGGTGAATACTCTTGACTTAATGAGGAAAATATATTAATACATGCATATTACAAATATATGTAAGTAAAATAAGTATATGTATATTTACAAATGTATATGTATATTTACAAATATTTTAATATTTAAACAAACGTATATGTATATTTACAAATACCAACATTTACAAAATATACATACATACATATTTTCCTCAATAAGAAAAATTCATTGCTAAGATCTGTAGTTAAAACAAATCTTCAATCTGTAAAATTGTAAAGAATGAGAAAGTAATCTGTATTAATTTTGCTGATGCATCTAAAGCTACAAAAGTTAGGACTACAGTGGATGATAAATGCTTAGTTAAGACAGAAAAGACATTAAATTTATGAGAAGACATAAACAGAAAATGTGTTCTGATTAACAGCAACATGTTGCACCAGAAAACATTTGAACCTGTAAAAATACTTAAGCATGGAATTCCCTGAAATACATAAGCCATTTATTGCAAGTAAGAGATGGTTACATAGATTCAGGGATAGATTTGGACTGAAAAATATAAAAATTACTGGACAGGCTGTGTCTGCTGGTGAAAAAGCAGCTGCCACATTTCCAGCAGAGTTGATGTTAATCACGGAGAAATGACATCATCCAAAGCAAGTTATCAATGGTATTGAAATCAGTCTTCTGGAAAAAGATGACCAATAGAACTTACAGTAATGGAAGTGCAAAGGAGGCGCCAGGGCATAAAACGTGGAAGGACAGTTAGTTATTGTTGTTACTGTGCCTAATTGAGGAATTAAACTTTATCATAGATATGTATATGTAGGAAAAAACATAGTACGTTTAGAGCCTGGCACTATCTACAGTTTCAGGCATCCACTGTGGGTTTTAGAATGTATTCCCCACAAATAAGAAGGGACTACTGCAATGTAAATGAAGCCACCATTCAGAATAACTTAGATTTCTTCAATTTGTTTTACGTAAAACGACCTTCTATTTTTCTTTGGAAAATAAATTTCCACTTACCAGATTTCTGAAACTTTCCATCATCAATACTACCCCCTGGGGAACCAATCTGGAATTTACAATCTGGAGGTCTATGTCCAGGGAAGCATTGACAATTACCAAAATTATTACAGATCTGAAACAGAAAAATACAGAAATAGTTTGAGTCAGTCATCTTAGTCTTTGTATCTGATGTAAATACCTACATTTCATAGAATAATTATTTTTTCTTAAGATTATTATGGCTATATAATATGAGAATTAGATTATAAAAAGTAGTAAAAATTTTGACAGCCTGATGGCCAGATGGCAAAATACCTACATGAAAGTTTATTTCTGGCCTCTGTACATTGACTATTTTTAATGTCTTCCTCAATCATCTTTAAAAAATAAGATTTAATAAAGTTGAAGCCTTCATATTTATAGAGGTTAAAGTTTTTTAAATAACTGTTTTCTTATTTAGTAATTTGGAAATATTTGTTGTCACTATTTGGACATTTTCATTTCTTTTTTTTTTTCTTTTTGTGACTGAGTCTCACCCTGTGGCCTAGGCTGGAGTTTAGTGACACAATCTTGGCTCACTCACTACAGCCTCTGCTTCCCAGGTTCCAGTGATTCTCCAGCCTTGGCCTCCTATGTAGCTGAGATTACCCCACACGCCTGGCTAATTTTTCTATTTTTAGTAGAGACGCCATTTCACCATGTTGTCTAGGCTGGTCTCAAACTCCTGACCTCAGGGTGCCCACCTCAGCCTCCCAAAGTGTTAAGATTACAGACATGAGCCACTGTGCCCAGCCCATTTGGACATTTTCTATTCATGCACTCCAATGTCTATACAAAATACTGTGATAAAAGAAACATCAGCTGACTCAGTCACTTTAATTCTTTATCCTAGCCCCTTTTTAATATTTGACATTATTGGTCAATGATGTGCATTTCATTTTTAAGTGAATATATTTTCCAAAATAAAGTAACATACATGCAAAGCAAATATTAAAAATCAACAATCAATTCGAACTTTATGATGAGCTTGCATTGCTAAAAGTTAATATTTGACAATGTTTCTATATTATTCATGCTTTTTGTATTAATATTTCAATTAGTATTAATTTTCATTTTTAAAACTAAACGAATACATATTTTGCAAAATTCAAACAATAAAAGTGTATAGAACTCAAATTCCTCAGTAACTAATTAAGTCCCATTTCCAACTGCTAAAGATGTTGTGTTTCATTCATATGTATCAAATGAATTTATAAATACATATACCCACATCCACAAACTCAAATAAACACACATCAATAGATTTTTGCCAAATAATATTCATAACAATATACTATGAGCTTATTCTCATATCACGTTTTTAAAAATAGACTCATAATGTTCAATAGTGTGAGTATTCCCTATAATTTTCCTAAAGTTATTGTGTCCTGTCCATTTATACTCATTTTGCTAAGTTGTTTATACAGTTTATTGAAATTGATTACCTCTTTTCTATATATCAAAAGAGATTTCAATAAAGTGAGTTTGAATTATAGCCCTGAATTCATGAAGTAGTGTTCTATTTTATATGTACATGTTTTTGTTGTTGAATATTTAGTGTACAATATTTTAATATAAAGGATTTAAATTAGAATAAGAATATCATATATGCATTTTTTTTTGAAAGGGAGTCTTGCTTTGTTGCCCAGGCTGGTCTTGAACTCCTGGGTTCAAGTAATCCTCCTGCATCAGCTTCCAAAATTGCTAGGATTACAGGTGTGATCCAGGGCATCTGGCCTTATGCATCCTTTTTAACTTATGCCACAACTGTATCCTCTTCTGAATTAATTTACATTTATTTAAATACCTGAATACAACAAAAGATCTCATTGTTTTATTTTACTAACTTCAAAAGAAATGGTCAACAAGAGCAAAGCTATACCAAATAAATAATACAATTTAAAAAAATAAAGAAAAATTTGATATTTTGGAGAATATGTCATAATTGGCTGTCAAATAGGAAAAAAAAACAGAGAAGAACAAACCTTAGACACTTGCTGGCAATAACTCTAAGAACACACATGCACAAAAGGTAGTCTTATCATATTCTGTACAGCGTAAAGAGTCTAAATATAGCATCAGATCCTCCCTGATAAGACTAAAAGCAACAGTATATAGTACAACAGAGTTTCAAAGTTTGAAGGTAAATCAAAATATGATAATTCTTAGACAAAAAAAGTGTCATTTATGTAGAAGACCATCATTTTCACATTTTGATATCAAGATCTCTGAATGCATTTTTCTCACATGTATATTTTTCTATATATTTTGACAAGGTGTTATTCCAGTACCCTACCCCTCCAATGAAAGTACAAGGACATGATAGAACACTTGACGTAGGATAGCAAATTTAAATATATTACACTTTTAACTGCAGCATAATTTAAAAAACAGAATTAACATAATGCATATAATCCCTTATAATACCAGGAACTTCAAGTCCAAAATTGCCAAAAAAAAAACCCAAATGTTAGAGGTTTAAGACAAAGGGTATGTACAAGTGCAAAAATGGTCACTCCTTAATTGGATGTGCAAGGAGAAATAAGTTTTATTTAAGGTTGGCCTAGAAATAGACAAATGAAAAGGAAACAAATGTTTAAATTCCTAGGTAACTAGGGTCCCTAGGGCCAAAACAGAAGTCACAATATAGAATTTTCTTTGTATTAGGGCAAGTCATGGCAAGATAAAAAATCAAAAATGACTTATAAAAAATAAAAAGTATGTTGAATTTTATCAAAAGTTTTTTCTGCATCTTTTGAGATAATCATGACTTTTTGTCTTTAGTTCTTTTATGTGATGAATCACATTTATTGATTTCCGTATGTTGAACCAACCTTGCATCCTAAGGATGAAGACTATTTGATTGTGGTGGATAAGCTTTTTTGATGTGCTGCTGAATTTGGTTGGCCAGTATTTTGTTGAGGATTTTAACATCAATATTCATGCAAGATATAGGCCTGAAATTTTTGTTTTTTGTTGTATCTCTGCCATATTTTGGTGTCAGCATGATGCTTGCCTCATAGAATGAGTTCCTTTTCAACTTTTTGGGATAGTTTCAGTGAAAATGGTATTAGCTCTTCTTTGCACCTCAGATAGAATTCAACTGTGAATCTATCTAATTCTGGGCTTTTTTTTTTTCTGGTTGGTAGGCTATTTATTACTGCTTCAATTTCAGAATTTGTTATTGGTCTGCTTAGTGATTCAATTTCTTCTTGGTTCAGTCTTGGGAGAGTGTATGTGTCCAGGAATTTATCCATTTTTTTCTAGATTTTCTACTTTATGTGCCTAGAGGTGTTTATAATATTCTCTGATGGTTATTTGTATTTCTGTGTTGTCACTAGCAATACCCCGTTTATCATTTCTGATTGTGTGTATTTGAATCTTCTCTTTTTTCTTCTTGGTTAGTATAGCTAGCAGTCTATTTATCTTATAATTTTTTTCAAAAAATAAACTCCTTGATTGGTTAATCTTTTGAATGTTTTTGGGTGTGTCTCAATTTCCTTCAGAAAAGATTTCTGATGAAATTCAACATCCCTTCATGTTAAAAACTCTCAGTAAACTGGGTATTGAAGGAACATACCTCATAACAAAAACAAGCAATGGGAAAACGATACTCTATTCAATAAATGGTGCTGAGATAACCGGCTAGCCATATGCAGAAAACTGAAACTGAACCCTTTCCTTACGCCATACACAAAAATCAACTTAAGATGGACTAAAGACATAAAAGTAAAATCGAAAACTATAAAAACCTTGGAATACACCTTAGGCAAACTCATTTAGGACATAGGCACTCATGAAGATTTCATGACGCAGATGCTGAAAGCAGTTGGAACAAAGCAAAAATTGACAAATGGGATATTATTAAAGAGCTTCTGTACAGCAAAAGAAGCTATCAACAGAGTAAAAAGACAACGTATAGAATGTGAGAAAATATTTACAAACTATGATTCTGACAAAAGTCTAACATCCAGATTTGATAAGGAGCTTAAACAAATTTAAAAAAAAAAAAAAAAAATAAAAAAGCAAATTAATTAAAAAAAAAAAAAAAAAATTAAAGAGTAGACAAATAATATGAACAGAAAGTTTTCAAAAAGAGACACAAATGCAGCCAACAGTCATATGAAAAAAAAAAAAAGTCTGGCATCACTGATTGCTAAAGAAATTAAAATAAAGACCACAATGAGATACCATCTCATGCCAGTCAGAATGGCTATTATTAAAAAGTAAAAAGAAGAAAACAGATACTGGAGAGGTTGTAGAGAAAAAGAAATGCTTATTGGCGGGAGTGTTATTTAGTTCAGCCGTTGTGGAAGATAGTGTGGCGATTCCTCAAAGACCTAAAGACAGAAATCCCATTCAACCCAGCAATCCTATTTCTGGGTATATATCCAAAGGAATAGAACTCATGCGATTATAAAAACACATGCATGCATATGCACATTGCAGCACTATTCACAATAGCAAAGACAAGGAATCAACCTAAGTGCCCATCAAGGATACACTTAATAAACAAAATGTGCTACATACACACCATGGAATACTATGCACCTAAAAAAAGAAAGAGATCATGTCCTTTGCCAGGACATGGATGGAGCTGGAGGCCATTATCCTTGGCCAACAAACACAGGAACAGAAAACCAAATACTATTCATTCTCACATATAAGTGGGAGCTAAATGATGACAAAACATGGACACATAGAGGGGAATGACACACAATGGGGCCCACCTGAGTGCAGAGATTGGGAAGGGAAGTGGATCAGAAAAAATAACTAATGAATACTAGGCTTCTGTATCAGAAATCCCCATGACACGTGTTTACCAACCTGCACATCCTTGCACATGTGCCCTTGAACTTAAAGTAAAGGCTAAAAATTAATTCATAATTAATTTAAAAATAAAAAAAATGTTTAAATGTGAAATATAAGAAATAAGGAGCATATAATGTAAGGAACAGCAGCTAGCATCTTAATTAATAAAATGCAAAGATTATCACAATGTATTAATAAGTGAAAATTAGGAAATAAAACAATATGTATATCAGCAAATACAAGCAAAAATATATCACAATGAGCATATCAAAAATAAGAACA